TTATGAAATAAATCAATGTTTCGACTTATTTAACGTAAATTTGATACTTATCAGCTACTAACGGTACATACCTATTAGTCATGATGTTAACCAAATGCAGTACTCGATTGACCATGCTTCAATAAATTTATGCTTGTGAGGAGTCAACCATGTGTCTTTCACATAATCAACAACCTCGCTTAAATCAACATATGCCAGCTCAAGTCGTTGCAACCGTTGATGATACTCAACCTCATCACTAGCCCATAAAACTTCCATCCATAATGTGTCTATCGCCTTTTGCATGTCATTCGCAACATATTGGTTTCATTTTGAACCAACATTTTTGTTGATGTAAAATCGACTAAGCAAATTTATTGTCTTGGAAACAAAACTTTAACTGCTTTCATCAAAGCAAGATCTCTATCAGTCAAAATCACTCGTGGATACAACTCTTTCATAACAAACAATTGTTTCATTTTACCTAATACTCGACAAAAGTTCTATGACTGCTCAAATTCCATATAGGCAAATGCAACAATAAATCTCAACTCGGTTGAAGTTATGCCAACTATTTCAAACAAATGTTGTCTATATGTTCTTATCTAATTCATGTTAACGATAATCGAGCCAATAGAAAAAATATTCCATAATTTGATTGAATTTAGGTGGGTGCAAAAAGTATCTCTCACAACATTTGAGTCATTTGTTCTTCTACTCCAGTAAACATAGCCTATCAACTTAAGCAAATGTTGTATCTCAGTTCTAGGACCTCTTATCTCTTTTTGTAACTTAATCTTATGTTTATATATTTGCGTGATCTGAGTGGCATTCTCTGTATCTCGCTCTTGCAAGGATAACAATATGTTTCTGGGTGGAACATGATCTTTGTCAAATCAACAACATGTTGTTAATCATTTGCGCTTATCCAACCAACAAACACATAACCTTCTAATCTATCAGATAAACCTTGGTTATAAAGTCCACATTTTACATCAAGCTTCCATCAATAACCATCTTTCGACAATGTTGACCTAATTTTTGAATGTACGATCACATGTTTTAGTGACACTTTGTGTTCCACTGTCTGTTTTCTTGTATTTCTCACCTTCATCAAAATTAAATATTACTTTGTTGCTTCTCCCTCTTTTGCATGTTTGGTATTTGAACGAGTGATGATACCAATTACTTAATTTGTAATTTCAGCCTCCTTAATCTATCTTATCATCTCTTCTCGTGTATCGAATCTTTGTATAATTGAAAATGCATTAGTGGTATCTACACGTATATAATTTTTATTACATATCTATAAAGAGATTTTCATATCTAAGCACATAAAAAAATGTTTTAAAAAACTCTATCAAAATACTTAATGGTAAGTAATCTGGTACACTAAATGAAAGTAACCAGACAACATGAAATAAAGTTATCTGAAATATGTTACAAACCAAAGAAGATACCAAAAAGTTTTCCAGTTAAAATAAAACATACTTAATATCTTTTTTCAGAGGACTCTAAAATACATATGTGTGGGCAAAAAATTTGAAATTTCAGAAAACTCGAGTGGAATGATTAAAAAATGATAAATCAGTTGATATGTTTAAATGATAAAATAGAAATAGAAATATTTTAAAAAATTGTAGGAGTGCAGGATAAATGAAGAGGTATAAGATAAAAATTTTGAGGTATAATTGTCCTAAAATAAGTAGGTATGATATTTGATTTTTTTTTCATTATATAATGGGCTAGATTCTATACATTAGTTTGGGCTCTTCATTTTTAATAAATTGTAAAGTACAGTACAATTTTTGGAGACATATACCTCTGTTGATGCGATGTTGTGCAAACCCGACAAGCTGCACTAATTCACACAGGACTGAAGGTAGCTAGAATAAGCAGTGTCAACATAAATTTGGATTCCATACACCTAGCTAGCTAGGTAGCTATTAGAATAAATAGAAATATTTCAGATTGTAAGGGACAACAAGTTAGGCTATCAAGAAATTTAGAAATGTGAATATCGATTGGATTGTCTTTTAGAGGAGACATATGGTCTAAATGGATCTAATCAACATTGGGAAAACATTTGGTTTTGTTGTAGAAAAGTGAATTAAACAGACCAAGTAAACACTTGTTTCATGGCTGTTGTAAACATGGATGTTTACATTTGTTAAGATCAAGGAAAAAGAATAGTAAATTAGGGAATGTAGCATGTTACATTGGGTTCATAAAACTCGCATTAAAGTTGAGTTCAGTCAAAACATTGTAGCTTTCTCAAAAGTAAATATACCTTTTAAGATTTCACACTTTACACACTTTGCCTTTTCGGTATCTTCATATAAATTATGGATGTGTTTGCAATATAGATTTTATAGATTAATTTTCTATCATAATTTTAAATATGAATCAACTTATGTATGGGATAAGTTTATACCGTAGGGGAAACATACAAGAATGTCTGTTTCGATTAAGATTGTTTTGTAAAAACTCGTAAAAAAAAATCAGGGTTAGGCGGAATAAAAATTCTTGAGGACACAAATATAAAACCTTGACATGTATAGCAACAAAAAGAGAGTGGGTTCGTTGACATTACATTTTTAAAGCTTAAAAATTACAAAAATTATATTAATGTCGAAAAAATAGTGCGAGATAGAGCTGATATATTAGAGAGTACAAGTCTATAATCTTTGTCAACCTCGTAAAAAAATATTGGCAAAACAAATACGCACAATACATTGAACTTGTTTTGTCACCCCTAATTTTAATGCACATCATAGATAGAATCATGGAGTTAGTTTTAGACAAATTAATATTTAAATTAGTAGAATAATTTATCTTAGTTGAACCTTTATTTTAAATATGGTTTAATTGGTCTTTTAGTCATTGAACCTTTATTTTACTACTCATTATTGCTATCACTATATGTGTACTCTTATTGAGAGTAAAGATTATGAATGGAAAAGATGTTATTTTAATTTATTAGATTTTTGTATTGTTCTTTTCTCTTTTCTATTATAAACCCTAACTTTATAGTTTTTCATAGGAAAATTTCTTATCAATTGATGCTTTCATCTTGAACTTCAACCCTTCTATGACTTATTCCAATATATATTATGATTCTTTCACCCCCTCCATATATTACCATTCCAACACCATTCTACCATTCCCTCATTCATACTTATTTGTCCACTACAACAATCATATCTCCTATATCTCATTATCCTCCATATGTTAGTGTTTTATCACCACTTTATCATTCTTACATTTCTCCTCATTATTCATCAACATACTGGTCAGGTGCTGTCGTGCAAGATGCTTATGCAACACCACAAAGTCAAGGAAGCAAAATGAGATACATAATTATGAACGGACTCCTTATTCCATAACTCTATTGAGGAAGTCTAAGTCCAAGTTGATTCATATCCAAGATAATTTCAGCAACTTTTCATCAACTCCCGTCCGTCAATCACAAAAATTTTGTATCTAAAGGGCAAATATAAAGTTGGTGCATCAGAAAGTGGATATGAATCCGTTGGACCTATTTGTCAAACTAGACATAAGGTTGGTGTACAATCGACTTCACAAAGACTAGGACAGTCTTCACCTCCGTCTTTATTGAAATAACATCTTTTTCATTCATAATCTTTCCTCTCAATAAAAGTACATATATAGTGATAGCAATAATGGGTAGTAAAATAAATGTTCAATAACTAAAAGACCAATTGAACCATATCTAAAATAAAGGTTCAACTAAAATAAATTCTTCTTCTAATTTAAATATTAATTTGTCTAAACTTAGCTCTATGACTCTATAAGTCACAATAACTACAATAATAATAATAATAATAATAATAATAATAATAATAATAATAATAATAATAATAATAATAATAATAATAATAATAATAATAATAATAATAATAATAATAATAATAATAATAATAATAATAATAATAATAATAATAATAATAATAATAATAATAATAATAATAATAATAATAATAATAATAATAATAATAATAATAATAATAATAATAATAATAATAATAATAATAATAATAATAATAATAATAATAATAATAATAATAATAATAATAATAATAATAATAATAATAATAATAATAATAATAATAATAATAATAATAATAATAATAATAATAATAATAATAATAATAATAATAATGGTAATCGCATCCGCAATCGCATCAATTACAATACTAACATGGATAGTTGTATTTAGGACCGTTCAAAAAACCGTCGAATCAAAGAGAACCACCAAATCAAATCGAATTAAAATTAAAATAATTGAATTGTTATGTTTGATTAGTGAATTGAACTATATTTTGCAAATAATTATAAAATCCAACTAAACGACACTCAAACTAAAACTGAAAACGAAATTATAAAAAATAAATTTAGAATATTTTATTAAAAATTCAAAAAATAAAATAAAATGGTTTAATGCTTTTAGGAAAAATTGTTCTTAACAATTGAATTGATATATTAAATCAATAATTTTAATTCAGTTTAATTTTAAATAAATTAAAATAATTCAGTTTAATTCTTTTATTATATAGTTCAATTCGATTTCTTTACTCAACTGTCGATAAATAGTCCTAATTTCGTGCACGATCATAGGTGGATTAGAAGCTATAAACTTTTCAATATCAAACCTATCATTAAATGATTGGAAGATATTAACTATAATTTCCTTTGACAAAAGAGTGCTATTCTAGACACAAAAAATAATAAATGCAAGAAAGCAAAAACCCTACTAGTTTAGGTAGATTAATTACTTCAAAATGTGGACCCTAACAAATTCATAAATATAAATAGCTATCCATCCACCCCCCATACCGCCATCACTTGCATGTTCCACTAGCATGCTTATAAACTCTCTCTCCCATAGAAATTCTCAAGCTTGTTTTCAACACACACAAAACTTGACTTGAAAAATTTGAGTTCAATTCATTTTATTAAGAGGCTCGTTCTACTTACTTGCTCACAATAACTATCTTCAAATGAAGCTTTCTTTTCTAGTTTCTCTTCTTCTTTTGTTCCTCTTTCTAACCAAAGCTCAAGGTAATTTATTCCAATGTATTCTAAACTTATACTAACCCTTTATGAATTGTTACTCATATAGCTATTAGATTACTCATATTATAGTTCTTTTCTTTTAACTAGGGATTCGCTTGGACAAAGGATCGTTAGCCGCTCGTCAAAATAAATATGTTAGTTATGATCTTTAAATAATATTACTTTCAAATTTTTTCATATAAGTTTTATTCTTGACTACGTGTAAGACGGATTACTGCACCAAAATTAAAATTTGACACATTTAAACTATGATTAAAAAGACGTTCATAAAGTATTAAACTATGACAAAATAGTGCTCGTATTTAATTTGTCACACTAAATTTATAATTAACTTATACAGAGTCTCTGAAAACGGCTCTGGTTTCTATCTGTTAACCTTCATTTTGAGTATGATATTTTCCTGGTTCTTATTCTTATGTAAGAAAAAATCACTTCTAATTGCAGGATGAAGAAAGAAATTTGTTGAAAAGAAATAATAGTAGTGATACTGATGAGGAAACAGTTCTTTGCAAAGATGAACATTGCACAGGTACCTTGAAGAAAAGAATTACTACTAGATCAACCAAAAAAGGAAACAACCAATTACCTCGTATTCATGAAGATTACTGTGGACCTAGACATCATAGACCTTCACACCATTAGTTTTCTAGCCACCCATAATTTATCATTGTTTGTTTTTATTTTTATTATGCAATTTGGCATTCTTCAAAATTACCCTTAGGAAAGAAAACCATGTAGTTCTTGCAACCTTCCTATATGTTACACCACCACTTCTTATTAATGTCGACTAATGTCGAATACAGACATGACACCGACAAATATAGACGTCACCATTAGCAGGTTTTAAATAACAATAGCAAGTCGCAGTCGCATTAAGATTTTCGCAATTTCGGTTGATATAAATATTGCAATATTAATTATGGTCAGCCGACCGTGTGAATTAATGACAATATTTATAAATAATATTTTTAAAATTATAATTTTTGTGTTTTGTAACTTTATAATATGAAAATTTTGCATTTATAACAGTATGATATGATATTTTGTGATCGTAACAGCGTTTAGTCGCACTCATAACAACTCTTTATCTGATTTTTTTCTCAACTATAAAATTATGATTAACAGTATTGACACATTCTGATATTATTTTGTCGTGCCTATTTTCATATTAGTGGACAGTTTTTCAAAACTTTTTTTCTAAAACATTGACCATTAGTACTTAATTTTGCTTGAAAAAGTTTCATTGTATCTAATTTTGTGGTTATATAAGAAGAAAATTTTAATTTTTTGTTCTAGGCAAAAACTTTACAATGCAATAAATTAAGCATATATGTTGGTGCAGGAAAGATAAAGAATAGGAAACTTTTTACATCATCAGCTTCTGCCCTTGATGCCAATTCAAAGACCAAAGGAAAAGTGAAGGAGTTTAAAGTAGATAAGCAACAAGAAGAGGATGTTCATGAAGACCTTATGGACATAACTGACATGGACTATTCTCCAGCAAGGAGAAAGACTCCCATACACAACTGACTCTTGGGATCAACAACTACTAAAACAGACAGTTTTGAATTTAGTATAAATAAAATTTTGGCAGACATGTTATTGGAGACAACATTACTGAAATTTTGCAGTTTTTTTAGGCTTTTAAAAGAATGGTATTATAATATTATTTTATTATCTTTTCCACATACATATATATCGAAGTCAAGGGATAATAAATATAGGGTATATCAGAAGTACCAAACATATACGTCAACCGAAAAACAACGTAACAAAGAAAATGACTAGAGAGAAAAGCATGAAATAGGCTTCGTGCTATGATTATTTTCTTCAATACATGTTTGTAAGAAAAAATTTAATGAATGTAAAGTAGTTGTTGTTGTTGAGTTTTAATATTTTTAATAATAACAACAAGTGACATTGCTAAGTTAAATTTATACTTTTCTAATTAACATCAATTTTTTTAACAAACATCTATTTAAGAAAATAATTTTAAAAATTACAAAAGAAGATATATTTAAAGAACCAATCTTAAGATATTTCTACGCTATGTCTATTCTAGAGAATGTTATTGTACTTCATGCAATATTTTTATTATCGGTGTTTACATTTCAGCACTCTGTATTTTGCATCTCAAGATAAATCATTATGGTATTTACGTTCTAATATATTAATTGGTGTATGTGACTTTCACGTGGATAGTTGATGTTTTGTGTGGATCAATGAGTTGATAATCTCTTACTTTGTAAATGCACGACAAAAATTTATTAATTATATAAAACAAAAATATTTGTTTTCCCTCAATTTCTAGCACAACCAAGATAATAGACATTAAATAAATTTTTTAAAAAAGAAGTATTAAAATGACGTTGTTGAGATTGAAAGGGGGCTTGTCAAAACCTTTCCCTTTCATTTTTAGCTAAATCAAGTGAATATGTCATAAATAAAATAAAATAAAATGAAATTAAATTAAATGAATCTATAGTTTACACATCAATTGTTAGTTGTTCATTGATTGAGGTAAAAATTTTGTTTAAAAAAGATATTATTTTTTATGGTGGTGCACCTAAAAAGAGGTATATCTCTTAACTAACTTAAAACGAAATCAGAAAAAAAAACTCAACCATACCACCACTAACTCAATCACTTCACAACGGCCAACAAACCTCAAAGTACTAATTGTTCATGCAAAGGATAAGATTCATCCACCACTTATAGTAGGAACAAAAGTACCCAAATGACTTGTCAAGATACTACTTTCAAGAACATGTATGATTAAGCAATTCCTTCTTGTTTACTGACTTTCTAGAAAAAAAATAGAATCATTTGGGATTTCCAAATACATCAAACCATTGCATGTCAAATCACAATAAAAACTATAGCCAACCAATCCACCTAGAAATTTTATACGACAAACATGCTGCAACTTCATAGATAACAAAGAGAATGGAAAGACATCTCAAGACCACATCAACATAAATTACAAGAGATGCTATATGGGTCCAAAATGTCCAAAATAACCATGCCCTTGACTCACTTATCACTAGTAGAAATATTATCTTAAAAAAGTTATCAAGAAAAGAAAATTACCTTGGAGAGAAAGACACATTCTCCTAAATGAGAAGCACAATCAAGCTAACATTAATACGAGAAATACCCTTATTAAGTCTAGTGACAAGAATGATAGAATAAACTGAAGCGGTCACTATTCATGGAGGAAATTATTATTCATCTGTTGATCTGAAAAAGGACACTCTATCATTGTAAGTCTTGAATCAAAACTTGGTTTATCAAACAACCATCTGCCCCCACTCTTAGATTTTGACGAAGGCACACCTAAAGCGCTTAAGTAATATGTTCTTCACACTATTACGGAAAATCTATTTAATAACGGTTGAGAAAGATATATAACAACACGGGCCCAGACTATGTTATGTAGAGTGTCGTTGAATATATGATACTTACAATCACGGTCAAGTGACTGTTATAGTATTCTACAAAGCGCGCACCATATCACAACGATTATTTAATCCAACCGTTGTGATAAAACTTAAGGTCTCAGATTCGATTCTCAGCGTCAAAATTTTGTAATTTATATTATTTTGGTTACCGTTCAATATACAATCACGGTGAAGTTTTATAGTCGCTGTCAAAACTTCCTCTGTTTTAAATTTGCAATTCTCTACTTCTCAAATTCTTCCCTTTTTATCTTGTAACTATTATAACCATATCAAATAATATACAGTAACCCGTATTTTTGTTAACCATGCAGAAAGAGCATAAAATATAGCTAATACTGGACATCAAAAGCCAAGATTAATATTTACATCAAAGATAATATTTTTAGGTCAAAAGTAATAATATTCACATCATCATTTACAGAAATTAATAAATCATTAGCACATCTCAATAAATCAAATAGACTCTTAAGCACATTGTGGATATACACCCAACGCTTTCGAAGATCGACAAAGTCCTCAACAGAGAATGGGGGTTACGTCATTAAACATCTACATAAGAAAGAGCAAAATAATGTTTAAAATATATGTCAACTTACATATATTAATATATGTAAACATATTATGACATATATACCTTATACCATGGATCAACTATGTCGGCAAGGACAATGTTTAACATGTGTTTCATGACATAATACTCACACTCGTATGTCCCAGGTTGTTTCATCGTCTACAAATGAATATAACCACACATGAATGTATGAAAGAAATGGGTAATCGGGTCACTTACTTTAGGAGTGATCCATGAGGGTTTTCTTCTAACATTGTTCATCATATTCACTCGCTCCACAATACTATACATTAAATATGAATTAAACATATTACATGTTAAACTACTTACAATATCAAAGAAACTGAATTAAACATACACTTACAAATTAATAATCTCTTTCATTTTCTTGTTGAGTGGATCATGCAGGAAACACAATACAGTTATCGTATTCGTTCTAAATGATATTATGATCAATTGATAATGACCACTAATTAAACATGAGCATATATATTATTAGTATTCGCTAAAACAAAACTAAATATAGAATACATAAACATCAATTACAAAAATACTTACGAACAGAGAAATGGTGTCAAGTAACATTCTTTTCCTCCCTCATTTAACCATTTTTAAGTACTCTTGAATGTCTTTTGGTTCATTATACGCCCATTGAGTAAAAAGCGGATCCAAGATTCCATAAACACTCTATTTATTCAACTCTATATAAACACAGTGAATGTACCTAAATGGTTAAAGAAAATGAATAAATTAACTGAGGAAATACAAAAAAATTATCATGTGTATATTTAACTATATACTTACGTGTACCAAACATACAAAATCCCTACGTCCAGACACTTATATTCACTGAGAAAATCCCTTACATCTTTTGGAGTGTAATAGAATAAATCCATATATGGACAATATTCTAGCGGGAGAGGTTGTGCATCATTCATCACTGCAACATACAAGTATAACGTGGTGATTTCATTTTAGTTAGGGTCCAATAACTCATTGCGGTTAGCTGGAGGGGGGAAGGGGTTGAACAATTACTTCATTTTGTAGAAGCACGACATACAACACTTCTACTTGGAGTTTGATCATGATCATGATCATCAACACCATCAACATAACATTGATCTTCATTTTATATTGTTCGAGGTTTTCACTTAATCACTACATCATAATATTCAGTTAGAACAAAAATAAGCAATATATATATATATATATATATATATATATATATATATATATATATATATATATATATATATATATATATACCATACATTTCTGATAAAACACTAAAATCTCATGTAAAGCACATACCAAATATAACTCTTGAAACCTTTGCACATCTTTCGGCCTTTTTTCCATCTCCTCTTCAAACATCCTCTTTTGTTCTTCTAATTGCTTCTCAAAAAACTCAATCTTTTGTTTTTGTGCATTTAATTCTGAGCTTTCGGTATTTTTTTCTTTGAGACCTAAAGAATAACCTCAAGCCAACACCTTCTCCAACACCACAAACACGCCCACCATACTCCTCTGTTCTGATTGCTTCTACTAATATGCCATGTCATGCTTCTGGAACAAACGTGCCTTCACGAGCTGCCTCAACCAAATTATCCTACACAATATGAACAACTTACATATATTGTTACCAACACATTTAAATAACAAATAACATAAGCAAAACAAATTATACTTACAATTTTCTCGACAACTAATCTTTTTTCCTCATAGGTGTACTCTCCATTTGGTCTTAATTGAGTCATCTTCCATTTTTCATATCTTGAGGGTGGGGACGGGATGCGATCATTTCCTGTTTGTGCTTATTTTTCAAGCATTATTCTTTTCTCAAGTTTTCTGTAACCCCCATGAGACAATCTATGGGGGTACATGTTCTTTTCCTTATTTTGTATTCCTACTTTGCTTTTAAGTTGTTATTAGCATAGCGTATAATATATATGATTAGTATTTATAACTCATTATCATAAAATTATCGGTTAAATAAAACTAGTACTAACCCTGAATTCCTCAGAATGACGTATCCTCATAAACTTCTTCCATTGCTTCTTAGATATAAAGCTATATCTTTTTAATGGAAGAGCAAGACCGCTCTTAGGCTTCCTAATGTAGTGCCGTGAGTTGTGACTTAAATCTCCTTCAACGAGTACTGGCATAAAAGATCCTTTTTTTGCAACTTTGAGTCATTGCTAAACTCAATATTCAACTACATTTAAATCAATGTATTAGAAATTATAGATAGTAATATCTAATATATGAAAATATTAGTATGCATACCTTAACATAGATCCATATTCTTTCTTTGACATTCGCATCCACTGATTTCTAATCATCTATCAATATACTTGCTTTGCTTCGTCCAAGGAACGCAACATAACTCTAAAGTGTTGATTAGTTTTCACAATCAACTACTTTGTAGTACAAATAAAACTCGGTCGAAGTTTTTTCACCTGATGACTTGTAAACTGATGTGAATTGGGACATCATTG